AGAAGCAGCGGGGGCGTTTCTGCGTCTGCGGGTTGGTTTTTTCGGCGTTTTTTGCCGCCGCAGCAGCAGCGCGCGCTGCTGCTGCTGCTGCTGCCGCAGCTCACGGAATTGCCCTTGATTTGCAGGACAATGTGCATGACTTTTGCTGTTATCAGAAACAGCAAATGCTTCGACAGCAGCAACGGAGACAACTCCCGGCCCCCCACTGTCGGCGAAGACAGCACCAGAAACAGCACAGTGTCCAGCAGGAAGCCGCGGCCGTTTTCGAGGACTTGCTGCAGCAGCAGGAAGCAAAAAGCAGCAAAAAAGGAACTGAAAACGAACCAAAACGGAGCACCTGAATCCGCTCATTTGTCCGTTTCTTCTGCTTTTAAATCTCGCGAATTTGCTGCTTTTTTCGGCCTGCGAAATGCCATTTCTTCACTTTTCGCCACGGCCATTTGCTGCAGCAACAATAAGTTGATTAAGTTCATTAATTCATTTAATTTCATTAATTTCATCAATTTCATTAATTTCATTAATTAATTTCACTGTCTATTTAATTAGTTTGTATTAGCTGGTTATTTTGATGGGCTCAAATGCCAGCAGTGCCATTTATTGTTAATGGTAGCAATAAATAAATAAATACATAAATAAATAAATAAATAAATAAATAGTTCAATTACTTAAATTGATTTGATTAATTAAATTGATTGAATTATTTATTTCATTTAATTGTTTATTTGACTTAATTGTTTATTTGATTTAATTGTTCGTTTCGTTTTTGATTTAATTAAATTATTTATTTAATTAAATCAGTTGTTTATATATGGTCCGAAAAAGGAACTGCAAAGCCCAGGATTTACGGCCTAGGGTTTAGGGTTTAGAGATTGGGCTTTAGGGTTTAGGGTTTACAGAAGAGGGTTTAGGTTTTAGGGTTTAGAGATGAGGGTTTAAGGTTTAAAGATGAGGATTTACGGTTTAGACATGAGGGTTTACGGTTTAGACATGAGGCTTTAGGGTTTAGACATGAGGGTTTAGGGTTTAGGGTTCAGAGATGAGGGTTTAGGGTTTAGGGTTTAGAGATGAGGGTTTACGGTTTAGACATGATGGCTTAGGGTTTAGAGATGAGGGTTTAGGGTTTAGACATGAGGGTTTAGGGTTTAGAGATGAGCGTATAGGGTTTAGGGTTTAGAGATGAGGGTTTAGGGTTTAGAGATGAGGGTTTAGGGTTTAGGGTTTAGGGTTTAGGACCTCGACTTCGAGGCCGCGGAGTCTGCCGACGAGAAGATGCAGCAAAAGTTTTACTCCCAAGAGAAACAAAACCACGCAGCAGTTGTACTCCACCTGAGGCAAATAAATAAATAAATAAATAAATAAATAAATAAAATTTAATTAATTAAATTAAATTGAATTAAATTAAATTAATTAAAATCGCAATTCCCATTTGTTCAGGGAGTTGTTAGTTACTTGGAGCAGCAGCAGCAGCAGCAGTAGCAGCGGCAGGAGCAGCAGTAGCAGTAGCAGCAGCAGCAGTAGCAGCAGCGCAGCAGAAGTAGCAGAAAAACAGCAGCAGAAATTTTACTATTGGCAGCAGGACGAGCAGTTTCGGCAGCAGCAGCAGCAGCACGAACAGCTGCAGCAGCAGCATGACACCAACGCCAGCGGTGAAACAGCAGCAATAAAAAAAGTGCAGCAGCAGCAGCAGCAGCACTGCCACCAACGAAGCAGCAGCAGCAGCGCCAGCCGCAGCAGCAAAACGGCAGCAGCGCCAGCCGCAGCAACAATACAGCAGCAGCAGCAGCAAGAGCCGCAGCACCAAAATACCAGCACGACACCAACAGCAGCACAGCAGCAGCAAAAGAGAGGCAGCAGCACAGCATAAGCAATACAACAAAAACAGCAGCACAGCAGCAGCAGCAGCACAGCAGCAGCAGCAGCACAGCAGCAGCACAGCAACAGCAGCACAGCAACAGCAGCACAGCAGCAGCAACAAAACAGCAACGGCAGCACCGCAACAGCAGCAGCCCACCAGCAGCAGCAGCCCAGCAACAGCAACAGCCCAACAACAGCAGCAGCACAGCTGCAGCAGCAGCAGCAGCAACAGCAGCAACTGACAGCGAGTGCGAGTTTGCTGGTGGTGAGTTTGGCAATTGCTGCGTAGAATTCGTCGCAGCGCAGCCAAGTGTGCAGCAGCAAAACAGCAACAGCAGCAAACGAGGCCAAAGTGTAGGCCCGGAAACAATCCACCAGGTTCGCCATTGCTGCTGCTGCTGCTGCTGCTGCTGCTGATATTGATGCTGCGGGTGATCCGGCTGCTGCAGCTGCTGCTGGTTCGGGGGCTACCGCTGCTGCTGCTGCAGCTGCTGCTCTGGGAGCTCAAGCTGCTGCTGCTGCTGCTACGGGCGGTAGCTCTTGCTGCTGCTGCTGCTGCTGGGGTGGCAGCTGCTGCTGCTGCGGCTGTGCGAGTCACTACAGCTCTGCGAAATTCGGCCGCTGCTGCTGGAGATGTTCTGCTGCCGCTGCTGCTGCTGCTGCTGCTGCTGCTCCTTCTGCGGTGGCGCTGCGTTGCTGCTGCTGCAACTGCTGCTCCTGCTGCTGCTTGGAGCAGAAGAGACACGGAAAGGCGCAGCAGAGAGTTCAGACACTGAGGCAGCGCGGGGGCGCCCCCTAAGCCCTAAACCCTAAACCCTAAACCCTAAACCCTAAAGCGTCACTGTCATCCCCCCAGGCGGGGGCCACTGAATACGCGGTGAGTGAAGAAAACAAATGAAGTGCTGCTGCTGTTGTGCTGAGGGTACAGAGCTGTTGCTGCTGCTGCTGCTGCCGTTGCTGCTGCTGCTGCAGCAGACAGCGGCGGATCGCTGCTGCTGCTGCTGCTGCTGTTGCTGTTGCTTTTGAGTGTTTTAAAGGGCCTCTCGTGGCCTCCTGAGAATAGAAAAAACAGGGAAAGAAATTGCTGCTGCAGCACTGGAGTGCCGCTGCTGCTGCTGCTGCTGCTGCAGACCCGGCAGCCGAGGGGCCTCCGTGGGCGCTGCTGCTGCTGCTGCTGCTGCTTAACTGCTAATGTCTCTTTGTCAGTTTAAAAAAAGTATTTATTTAAATTTATTTTTACATTTATATCTTTAAAAGCAAAATTGCAAACAACGAGGCAGCTGCGGGAGCCTCTGCAGCAGCAGCAGCGACACCCTGCGCCCACGGTCACCAGCTCTAGGGTTTAGGGTTTAGGGCTTAGGGTTTGGTCTTCGAGGGTTTAGCTCCCAGTTTGTGCGCCAGTAGCTGCATGTTTAAGACAAACAAGGCCTCTGGAGCCGCAGCAATTTGCTGCAAGGTTTAGGGTTTAGCGTGTAGGGTCTAGGGTTTAGCCTCCGAGGGTTTTGAGCATTCTTTAAGACAAACAAAACCCCCAAAACAGCAGCACCTGAGGGCTGTCCCTAAGCGCTGCAGCGAGGAGGTTTGCCGCAGCTCTAAACCCTAAAAAAGGGTTTCGCAAAACCTCCCGAAAGTGCACAGAAGCACCCCGCAAATGCGCGGCCGTCAGCCCTGGCGAAACAGCCAGAAACAGCCAGCAGCAAGAGCAGCAGCAGCAGCAGCTGCTGCTGCTGCTGCTGCCGCTGCTGCTGCCGCTGCTGCTGCTGCTGCCACAAAGGGAGGCCTTACTCCTGGGGGCCCCCAGGGGTCCCCGGAGGGCCTCTAGAGGTCGTCGGGGGCCCCCAGGGGGCCCCCTAGAGTGCCCCTCGAGGGAGCCCCTGGGGGCCCCCTTGGGGCCCCCTATGCATCTGTGGGGGCCCCCCTAGGGGCCCCCGAGGGGCCCTTTGCCCTGGAGAAATTAAAAGAAGAAGGGGAGGGCCCCGAAAGGATTAAAGGGTTTTAAGAGCTCTTAGGGGGGCCCCCAGGGGCCCCAGTGCCCCTGGGGTGCCCCTGGGGGGCCCCCAGGGGCCCCCCAGGGGCCCTCAGGACCTAAGGGGGGCCCCTCTAGAGGGTTAG